CTACTTGAACAAATATACTGATAGTGCATGGTCTTAAATAATCACTGAATCAAATAACTGGGGAAATGTTTTTAGAGTTTAAAGAAAATGAAATGATGCCCCCTTTTCTCCCTGAGATCACTGTAAATACTCTTAAAGCACTTAGTGCAAAACTCAGGATTGCTGACAGCAATAACAGTATTATGAAAATATTTTTTGCATTTCACATAAAATAGAAAGGAGCAACTATTATTTGTGACTTACACCTACAGAACAGCAGTGTGTCTGTCACCTTACTCAGAATGTCACCCTGTTTAGAAACAGAGGCTTTGCTGATGTAATCAAGTTAAAGATCTCCAGATGAGATCATCCTGGATCATCCAGGTGGGCCCTAAATCCAATGACAAATGTCCTTACAAGAGACAGAGTTGAGTTAGGAAGTAAGTCTCAGGGACGTCGGAGGAGAGCTGTGTTTTAGTTGGGTGGAGATTCTAATATGAACTGCAGAAGAACGTGTACGCATATCCATACATCATATTACACAATGGAGCATTTATTTTATGAGTTTCTAGTTTATAATTTGAAATAAATTAAAAATTAAAAGTTTTAGTCTTCCAAAAAAAAAAAAAGAGAGAGAGAGAGTCAGAGGAAAAGACACAGAGACACAGAGAAGTCCACGTCAAGGCAGAAGCAGAGTGTGGATCCATGCAGCCACAAAAAACGTTCGGAAGAGGCAAACAAGGACCATCCCTGGGAGCGTTTGAGGGAGCGTGGCCCTGCCAACACCTCGATTTTGGATTTCTAGCCTCCAGAATTGAGAGAATAAATTTCTGTTGTTTTCAGCCACCAAGTTTACATGATGTTACAGCAGCCCCTGAAAACACAAAGCCCCACTGCTTCTTTTCATCACTGGCAACTCCAGGAGGTCTCCCAAAGGCAGGCAGCAGGCTATACAAACTTATACCTACCTCAGGTAGAGGTAACCGGGCTTTGTTCTGGGTTCCTAAGCAATGATTCAGAACCAAGCACTGCTAACGCTCCTGCGCCTAAATTTCTTGGAGAAAAGGATGAGAAGAAGAGGGTTCCCGCAGGCTCCACTGATGTGGGTCTGACTGTCTGCTTCAATTTCCACCTAAGTTGGTTTGCAAATAGAATACTCCTTATGAGATTTGCAGAACCAATCAGAAAGGCAGAAGAAACTGCACAAAGAAAAACTGATGGGCACAAATGTCCAAGCAAGATGGCAGTGTGGGAATAAGGCATGCAACCCTGTCCTTTACACTGGCAGAAGCCTTTTCATACAAACTGCCATAAAAACAGAGAAACACAGATACATAAATATCTTCATATAAATCTTCCCATATGCCTTGATCAGTTTTGATAATACGTCCTCGCATTTATTTATTTATTCAGAGATGGAGTCTTGCTCTGTCACCCAGGCTGGAGTGCAATGGAACAATCTTGGCTCACTGCAACCTCCGCCTCCTGGGTTCAAGCGACTCTCCTGCCTCAGCCTCCTGAGCAGCTGGGATTATAGACACACACCACCACACCTGGCTAATTTTTATATTTTTAGTAGAGAAGGGTTTTCACCATGTTGGCCAGGCTGGTCTCAAACTCCTGACCTCAAATGATCCACCGGTCTTGGCCTCCCACAGTGTTGGGATTACAGGCGTAAGCCATTGCGCCTGGCCCTCACATTTGCAAACAGGCACAAGCTGGTGCATTCCAAGGTCTGACAGGCATTGTTGATGTCTGCTATTGGTTTCCACCCACCACTCTAGAGTCAGGATGTACACCCTACTATCTTCTAGACATATGATGGTACCTTATGTCTCAAATGCTCCATGTGCAGTTGCTATGAAACTAGCAAAATGAAATATTATCTAGAAAATAAATCCAAAGGGTATAAGAGAAAAATGAATCTGGCAACACAACCTTCTCAAACTTAAGAATATAAAGTATTCTACATCTCTGTTTAAAAGAGCCACTCACTCCAGAGTATTCATAGAGCATGCTCTTCCCTTTGCCACTGTAAAATTAGATGAACGTACGCTTGCAAGTTAACATTGAGTGGAAATTATGAAATGATTATCTAAGATCACGGAAAAGCTCAACAAAAGCTGCTTGCCTTTTCCAGGACACCTCTTAGTAAGATGGTTTTTATCCCTGGCCTTAACCCACTGCCTGCCTCAAACATTAATTTCTTGGATATAAAAGTTACCCGGATTTTATTTCCTTGTGTCCTCTCTCCAGAAATTCTGTGTTTGGAGAATGTGTTTTCAGAAGCAGCACCCCACTGATGAAAAAGAATAAACCTAGTTTCCTAACTTTGTGACCAAATGCTGCTAATACTGATGTCTAATAGTTCCTCAAATATTATTCCCACATCTTAATTTTTAAACTGGGCCAGGCACAGTGGTTCACACTTGTAATCCCAGCAATCTGGGAGGCCAAGGCAGGTAGATCACCTGACATCAGGAGTTGGAGACCAGCCTCGCCAACATGGTACAACTCTATCTGTACTCAAAATACAAAAAAATTTGCTGGGCATGGTGGCGTGCACCTGCAATCCAAGCTACTCGGAAAGCTGAGGCAGGAGAATCATTCGAACCCCAGAGGCGGAAGATACAGTGAGCTGAGACTAGCCATTGCACTCTAGCCTGGGCAGTAAGAGCAAAACTAAATAACTAAATAAATAATAAAAATGTTTATACTGAACATCAAGAAAACAGATTTCCCTAACATACTATTTCCCAGTCACAAACAATTAAGAATCCATTTATGCAACAAATATTCATTGAGAAGCTATTGCGTACCAGACATCAGTTGCAGTGGCTTTACCGCAATGGATGAAACAGACAAAAGCCCTTCCTCATGCAACTTACATATTAGGGAGGAGAGGGGGAATACATGTGAAAAATAAATACAATCAACAGTGTGTTAGTAATTGACATGTGCACAGAAGAAAAGCATAAGGGGAGATAAGACTTGGTGCTGATATCTCCCATACACCCATATACCATCAATCTGAGAAACAATCTTCAAGTGTTACCCCTTCTCCCTTCACTGTAGTGAGTCTTCATTTATTTGCTAACATCTTCTCCCACAGACATGTCTTAATTCAACTGCTGCTAGCCTTGTCTTCTAAGTGTTGTCACTTGCTGCTCATCACACTAAAATATCTTTCTTTTCTTTTTTTTTTGAAACAGAGTCTCACTGTCACCCACTGGAGTGCAGTGGCATGATCTTGACTCATTGCAACCTCCCCCTCTGGATTCAAGCGACTCTCCCGCCTCAGCCTCCTGAGTAGCTGGAATTATAGATATCCGGCACCACGCCTGGCTAATTTAGTATTTATTTTTATTTTTATTTATTTTAGTAGAGATGGAGTTTCACCATGTCAGTCAGGCTGGTCTTGAACTCCAGACCTCAGGTGATCCGCCCACCTCTCTCTCCCAAAGTGCTGGGATAACAGGTGTGAGCCACTGTACCTGGCACATTAAAACATCTTTTGGGAAATAAATTTCTTTTTTAAAAAGACAAATTGGTGGGGGCGGAAAGACACTAACATTTACTAAGCACCTATTATCAGGCCAGGCCGGTGGTAGACACCTTTGCATTCATTATCAGAGTTGATGTGTATATATCCCCATTAGGGAGGTAACACAATTCTCATTTTACAGAGGAAGAAATGGACACTCCAGGAACTTGCTTAAGGTCATACAGCATGGTCTTACTCAGGTAGTACAGCTGAAATATGTGCCACAGCTGAAATATGAACTTTGCTGACCATATTTGTCTTACCTTCAAAATTCTCCACTTTGGGGATTCTTTTTCTTAACCTATCTTTTTCTTGGCTTATCACTAAGGATCATTCTTTCATGCCGTCTTAGACGGCAGGAATTACTTTCCTCAATTACCTAAAAGCAGCCTCATCTCCTTTCTGTCTAACCCTAGGGTTAAATTAGACTGCATTCAATCGAATGGAATAAAACCTTTATGAACGGCACTGACCACCAATTTTAAAATTAAAATAACCACTGACTGTCATGATACCTGGCATCTTTTTTCTGTAGTCATCTTCCCTTTACTTATTTCTTTTGCAAAAGAACCTTAAGCCTAAATCTCAAGCCAGTGGGATACCTAGGTGGCCCCGGGGATTCCGTATGGATTACGGAATATTATGAATAAAACGCAATACACAATCCTGTAGAGAATCAGCAGCGTCAACCAGTAAGACCCAGACGTTTTTCTTTAAGGGTGTTCTCTCCGCATTACCTCAGTCACAGTTTCCAGGTCGGAGGAACTGGAACCCATCGGTTAAGAATACGGCCGTCTCTACTAAAAATACAAAAAATCAGCCGGGCATGGTGGCGCGTGCCTGTAATCCCAGCTACTCAGGAGGCCCAGGCAGGAGAATTGCCTGAACCCAGGAGGCGGAGGTTGCGGTGAGCCGAGATCGCGCCATTGCACTCCAGCCTGGGTAACAAGAGCGAAACTCCGTCTCAAAAAAAAAAAAAAAAAAAAAAGGATACGGCCCCTGACAAGGCACTCATCTGGGAACTTACTCCCCTCGCCTTGCTCGTCCTCTACTCTGCACCGAGCAGCAGATGAACGTTTGAAAAATCACTGACAACGCACACCGTGATTCTAAGGAATTCTCTGCGGTCTCCTCGAGAGCCTGGCTGGAAATTCTGAGCCACAAGCCTTCGGAACCGGGCAGAAGCGGCAGAGGCGGGAGGCCGACGCCCGCGTGCGATGTCCCGGCCGCTCCCCGCCGCAGGCGCCCCGAGGGTCTCGGCGGAAGCCGCCCCCCGGCGCGCGGCACCAGGCGGCGCTCGGCCCCGGGCTCGGCCATGGCGGCTGCGCCCCGCGCGGCCCGCGCCCCGTCGGGCCCGGCAGCCTCGGCCTCGCCCCCCGCCCCTCGCCCGGCCCCCGCTCGGGCCCCCGCCCCCGCCCCGGCCGCCCCGGCCCGCGCCCGGCCCGGCTGGGGCTCCGCGTCCGCGCGGCCGCCTCACCACAGCTTCCTCTTGAGCGGCAGGAGGCTGCCGCGGTTGGAGGGGGTGACGCCGATGGCCATCTGCAGCACCGTCAGGTATTTCTGGTACTTCATCTTGTCCCCGCTCCGCTCGCGGGCAGGGCCGCGCCGCCGCCGCCGCCGCCGCAGACACAGCCCCTCCAGGCGCCGCATAGATCAGCTCTGGGCCATCCGCCGCCGCCGCCGCCACAGCTCCCGCCGTTCCCGCGCCCGCCGCGCCCGCCGCTGCGGCCGTGCGTGGCCCGGGCTCCCGCTCCCGCCGCCGCCGCCGCCGCGCGTGCCTGGCCGCTCCCGCCGCCGCCGCCGCCGCCGCGCGTGGCCCGCAGCTCCCGCCGCCGCCGCCCCTTCCAGCCCTGCGGGCCGTGGCCCCCCGGCGCGCTCCGGCGGGGGCGGGTGCGGGTCTCGCGCGCGGCCGGGCTGGCGTGGCGCGGGCTCCGGAGCCGCGGGGCGAGGCCGGGCCACCTGCGCCCCCGCCGCCCTGCCCGGGCCCTGCGCCCCCGCGTGCTGCGGAGCTTTCGGGCGCCGGCAGGAGCTCCTTTTCAACCGTTAGCTCCCAAGGAGAATCCCAACGCGCTTACAGCGCGGATTAAAAAAAACAAAAACAAAAACAGAAACACCCCTATTCCTTTGTAACCGTCAATGTATGTGTTCTACCCCAAAGTGGTTGTTGACAGTTTCACATTGACCTATAATGCCTTTTGCGGATACCGTAATTCTTCTGGACGCTGGAAATGACTGAACCATGAAAAACTACCTTAATAATCAATGGGAAAAATTAAGATGGTTCCACGACTTTAAACAGTTTTTCTCAAAACATTCAAAGCAGTCCAGGCGCAGTGGCTCACGCCTGTAATCCCAGCACTTTCGGAGGCCCAGGAGGGAGGATGACGTGAGCCCAGGAGTTCCCAGACCTGCTCTGGGCAGCACAGTGAGACCCTGTCTCTACAAAATAAAAAAATTAGCCAAGTGTGATGGTGTGCACCTGTAGTCCCAGCTACTCAGGAGGCCGAGGTGGGAGAATCACTTGAACCCGGGCAGCCGAGGTTGCAATGAGCCTACGTCGCATCGCGGCACTCCAGCCTGGGTGACAGAGCAAGTCTGTGTCTTGGCAAGAAACAGCAACAACAAAAGAACTATTCAAAACTCACTTAACTGATAGTTACAAATAACGCTGTATATGAAAATGAAAAAAAAAAATGACCAGTTTAAAACATTCAAACATTGAGAATTATTTTATGACTTTGCAAAAATACAACTTGTTAAGGATAACTTGAACAGTACTTGTCTTCTTCTAGTATAACTCTTAAACACCAAGAGAACACCTTTTTTGTGCCTTGGCGAAACATCGCATTTGGATTACAGGCGGTATTTTACCCTTTGCACTTCCAATGCCGTGCAATGTCTCAGAGAGTTCCTTTAATGTAAAATTTTTTTGTGGGCCTCGCTTCCTCCCGGGGGGCCTCATCCTTTCTCTCACAGCCGCTTTCCTTATTTCAGTGTACTTTGAGTAAGTTTCACTGATGGCACATCTAGAGTCTCTGGAAAGTCAGCACTCCCCCAATTGTCTATTTCTTCTGTAGTACTTTATTTGCATTCAATTTGAATTTTACTTCAAATCTATCTTTATCATTTTTTTTTATTTCTTTGCTGCACTTTCATCTTGGTTGACCAATTCCCTTTCAATTATCCATTTTAATATAATGCTGTGTGAGTTGAACACTTGGAGAAAAGGAAGCAACACAGTTGCACACTTTGCTGTCAGTGCCTAAACTAACATGTGCAATGACCCGTCACTGACAGATTTTGAAAGAACTGCTGTGATTGGTCACTGGTTGTGATGGATGTCTATTGTTTACATAGGGATTTATGGACTAAAGAGCTAGAAGCAAAGATTGTCCTGTATGTGCTTGTTCACAGCTAATATGCCATGATAACTGAAATTGGTTTTTTGTTTTTATTTTGTTTTATCACCTAGATAGTAGTCACCTGGAGACAGGCTCTCACTCTGTTGCCCAGACTGGAGTGCAGTAGCACAATTGTGGCTCACTAGAGCCTCTCCTTCCCAGGCTCAAGCAGTCTTTCCACCTGGGCCTCCCAAGCAGCTGGAACTACAGGTGCACACCACTAAGCCTGGCTAATTTTTGTATTTTTATTTTTTGAAGAGACAGGATCTCACTATGTTGCCCAGGCTGGTCTTAAATTCCTGGGCTCAAGCAATCCTCCCACCTCAGCCTCTCAAAGTGCTGTAATTATAGGCATGAGCCACCACGCCCCATCCAGTAACTAAAATTTTAAACATATTTTGAGGTACAGGTGTTCTTTAACTAAATAGCTGACATTATCATAGCTGAACCTGCAAAGCAAGGGATGCCTCTTTGCATATACGCATACTGTATGTAAGTGTGTATATATAGTATATATGAAGAATATCAGTAATAAGCACCTATGCATCCACCAGGCAGAAATGTTACCCCCCTCCCTCCACAGTTTATTCCTCCTATACCTCTATTTAAACACTTCAGCTTCAAATTAATTAGCATATAAGATTAAAACAGCACAATTTCCCTGGGGTTTGGGTTCCCAACATGATTTCACAGTCACTTAGATGGGAAAGCAGGTCTAAATATTTTACTTTCATTTATGCAGAAGATTTAGCTCTCACGTAAAATGAGGAATTGGCCGGGTTTTAGGCACTTCAGATGTATACCCACCCTTGGGAGAAGACCTCCTTGGAGCAGAACTTTTAAGAATATCAGAGCCTGTTCTTCTATATTCACCATTTCAAATGTATGTTTGGCCTTTTGCCTTACCTTGTCATAATACTTGAAAGATATTTGTTGAAAATACTACACTGTGCTCAAAGATTTAGACACCTGGAGGCTGAGGGGCCTATTCAGGATAATGAGCAATAAAAATAAATCTGAGAGAAGCACTTCTAGAGTGATAGAAAACCTCCTTCTCCATAAAAGGGAGCACACTGGCAAAAATGGTTAAAACCAACTCCAGAAATTCACCAAAAGCTTACAACAATCCAAGGAGTATTTATTCAAAAAAATTACTGAATCTTAGTGAGTACAGTGAGCTTTATGGCATTTTGATCTGCCCAATTCCCATCTCCTTCTCCCCAGCATTACTGTAGCCTAGTAAGCCAACAGTCTCACAACTACAGTAGCTTTGAAAACCATCCAGCAGCCACTGGACAGGGCAGAATGGGCTTAGATCATCTCAAAAGCCCCACGCTAAGTAAAATGTCATTATTTGACCCATCTGAAGGCACCTTGAAAAGGTCCATTCTCAGGGCTTGTCTTTATTTGACCCAGCTCAGAACTTGCTCTGTGCAAACAGCCCTATCCCCAGTGCATTTGTGGAAAACAATCGGTAGCAACTGTTTAATGTCACAGTTACCTGAGGTGATGAAACTGTTTGGTACTAACAAGAGGCTAACCGCAAAAGTTAAAAGGAAACATGGGAAATCAGAGTCCATATAGCTCCTTGAAAATCTTTGACATAGACCTATGAATCCAGAATGTCATCCAAGACATGCATGTACATGCAGGGCTGTGAACACACTCAGAAAACACCTGAGAGACTCTAATCTCTCACGTATATCTGACCCTTAGTTGCAAGCAGAAAATAAAGACTAAGGAAGAATTGTAAACTACCTCCCACAATTTACGAGGCATACCCCAACATACAGACAGCCTCTCAGCAAAGGCTAGGGGATTTATTGGTTGAAAGCGTTTAAGAAAATATCTGTTCAATCATTAGCTAAGCACTAAACTATCTAAGCAGAGACTTTAACGGCCGCACACAACAAAGAATACAGACTTTATAGATTAGTCCAGCAAAGTCACTAAACCAATAACAAAACTCAGTGGAGAGGAGGGGATACGATTTCTAGAGTTGCCACATTATATTGTTCAAAACGTCCAAATCTCAACAAAAAAATTCACCACGTGCAAAAAACAAAATTATGGCCTATATGCAGGAAAAAGCAGTTAATAGAAACCGTTCCTAAGGAATCCCAAGCATTGGGCTTACTGCTCCTCCCACTGCTGTAGCCTCCACCCGGACTCCATTTGAAGTAGTCTATCAGGATCAGCTTAGATTGTGCTGTCTGACCCCAGCCAATGGGGACTGGACACAGCAGCAGGGACTGACTGCGTTCTGGATAAAAACCCCTTCCTCCCTTTGTCCAGTATGCTCTCACAGTGACCAGAAGAACAAGCAGCACCCTTCTGCAGAAGCAAATTTATCTTGCTGAGAAATCCTTTATTTGAGTGCTCATTTTCTTTGTGACTCTGATCTCTTATTTCCAACACTTCAGTGAAAATGGAATTATATTCTCAGGAGAAAAACTAGAGAGTAGCATTAGGTACAATAGGGTGGGCTACTAGACTGAAAAGTAGAAGGTTACAGGAAAGTTGTATATGGAGTGATGAGATGCTAAACTCCTTTCTGTCACCCAGATCTAGAATGCTAGCAACCTCAGGCAAAGGTTTACATAATCTCCCCATGTGGACCATCACAATTTTTTGTTAAATCCGTAGATTTTGTTGTTGTGACGATTTAAACATTGTTTAGTATTGTGCTGTGATTATATTTTCCTGCCTTATACCATTTCTTATTTTACCTGGAGTTAATAATTGCTTTGTTTTCAACTTGTTGTTTTCCTGAAACCCATCACTAAATGTTCCCACATCCGCAACAGTAATGTCAAATGCCTGCAATACAGTTTTCCACACACTCAAAGCAGTCAGTCTATCCATTTCATTTTTTCTTGGACTCTGAAGCCCCCCATCCTCCTGCCCCTCTCTGTACAGATGTGCTCTCCATGCTTGTGCCCAGTTCAGAGAGAGAGAAAGAGAGAGAGAGAGAGAGAGAGAGAGAGAGAGAGAGAGAGAGACAACAGAGAGACAGAGAGACAGAAAGAGAAAAAGAGAGAAAGCGAGCTGTTTAAGGAATTGGTGCATGTGATTATGGAGACTTGCTAAATACAAAATACGCAGGGTAGCAGGCAGGCTGGAGACCCAGAGAAGAGTTGTAGTTTGAGTCCAAAGGCAGTCAGTCAGGGTCAGAAATTCTTTTTGCTCAGGAAAGGTTGTTTTTTATTCTATTAAGGTCTTCAACTGATTGGATAAGGCCCACCCCCATTATGGATGGTAATCTACTTTACTCAAAATTCACCAATTA